TGGGTACCCTGTGAAAATCCCCAAGGGCATGACCGTTCTTCAGGCATGCGAGGTTGCCGGTGTCGACATACCTCGCTTTTGCTATCACAGCCGGCTGTCCATTGCTGGAAATTGCCGTATGTGTCTCGTTGAGGTTGAGAAATCGCCCAAGCCTGTTGCGTCTTGTGCCATGCCTGCTCTTCCTGGTAAGCTATTCTGATATTCGCCCCAATTTTATTTCTATTTTTTGTTTTATTCTAAAAATTATTTAGTCAGAGCTCAAATTTCAACTACTGAAGTTTTTGCCATGGTTATTTTTGATTGCTTCTGTTTTGTCCCTTATCTCGTGTAGTTGTGTGATGTAATTTTGAGTACGATTTTGTTCTCAATCAGAGTAAAATTGCTGTTTTTGGCCACACAAATTTCAAATTATTGTTTATATTCATTTCTCACGAGCATGAAATTTAGTTTTATATGATCAAACTTAGTTTATGCCTTTACAATTTAACGCTCTCTCTGAAATTGAACAATGATTCGTTTATTTTTTTTGGTAGGTTGTAGATATTAATGATACTAGGAAAGCAGCACTAATCCAGCTGCTCTGACCATTTGATTGAATTTTTTCTTTAACTGTTTTGCTGACATTTTTGTTAATTCTACTTCTTATTTGTGCTTTTTCATTTTTAAAAAAGCGAAATAATTTGTGCCTGTTCTCTTCATCATTTATGACTTTATTGTCACACAATGATCTATCTTGTAAATGTGTTATCTATTTCTCGTTATTATAGATGACAAGTTATGTCTTTCTAATAATGGAGAAATTTGGAGATAAAGTTATCAGTCGTTGTATGCTCTGTTTGTCCTTCTGAATCTACTGATAGCTTCTAATATTTTAATTTAGATTTATACCAATATTTTCAATGGGTGTGCACACGCATGCTCCCTTGTTTTGTGCACGCGTTTGGTTTTACTTGGGGATTCCAATAAGTCCTTTTCATTTGATTTTTTGTTTTTAATGTAATCTAATGAGATATTGGTCCAAAGGGATGAAAATTAAGACCAACACACCTGTGGCGAGGAAAGCTCGAGAAGGAGTGATGGAATTTTTATTGATGAATCATCCACTGGATTGCCCAATTTGTGATCAGGGTGGGGAATGTGACCTTCAGGATCAGTCAATGGCATTTGGCTCTGATCGTGGTCGCTTCACTGATGTAAAGAGATCTGTGGTGGATAAAAATCTTGGTCCTTTGGTGAAGACTGTAATGACCAGATGTATTCAGTGTACAAGGTTAGCTGTGTGCAGCACTTCTACCATTAATGTGATTGTTGTCATTTGCAAAACTTTATATCTTTTCCTGTATTTTGAGTATGAAATTAATTATAGCTTCGATTTTTTTAAAAAATGTTGTTTGGGTTTTTTCTTACGAGTTAAGTAATAGTGAAATTCGTCTTGTTGCCTTAGAATGGTCCGGTAAGAATTAATAATCTCAGTTTGAGTTGTTAATCCCACTTTCAAATGAATAAGTGTTCATTATGATTGTGACAAAGCAGATTTGCCAATTCAATTTGCATTTCATCAAAGTTTGCTGGAATTGAGATCATAATGATGTACCTGTTCTATATATGTGAAGTCCTGAGGTGCAGCTCTCCATGTTCTGTATAGGTTTATATCATTGTATTGATGGAGATAAAAATGACATTGAAATTTTATTTCATTTGTCTGTTTTTAATTCAGGCCCTTTTGCTTATAATTTAATAGCTTCCTCCTTATTTTTGAAGTAATTTTTTCCTTGGTTATCTAGTATTAGGCCCTGTTTGCTATCATGATTGAAATAACTTATAAGCATATTTCACGTATGCTTGAGACAAAACTAATCTTATATACTTACCTCATATTCTATAAATCATGATTGAAAAGCTGCGTATAAGTTATTCCTAATTGGTCCTTAACTTTTTTATGGGTTTCTTCCATTTTATGTTTGGCTGATTCTAATTTAATTTGACGTTTGGGTCTGACCTTCTACAGTTTAAAACGTTGGCATTTGTTTGAAATCTAATTGTTAGCATCTGAGAAACAATTTTTTTCTTGTATCTTGAATGTCAAATGTGTAATATAATTGAGTGTCTCTTCGGACCAACAGGTGTGTTAGGTTTGCAACAGAGGTTGCAGGGGTTCAGGATCTTGGCATGTTAGGTCGTGGCAGTGGAGAGGAGATTGGAACATATGTTGAAAAGCTTATGACGAGTGAACTTTCTGGTAATGTGATAGATATCTGTCCTGTGGGAGCTCTTACCTCAAAACCTTTTGCATTTAAAGCTCGGAATTGGGAGTTAAAGGGAACAGAGACAATTGATGTTACGGATGCTGTTGGGTCTAATATTCGAATTGATAGCAGAGGACCCGAAGTCATGCGAATTGTTCCTCGTCTAAATGAGGTTAGATTCTGGTAGAAAATCGTGTGGATGTTCATTGCAATGAATGATGTCTATAAGATCTTTTTTGCTCTCAAGGAAGTCATGCAAACGGTTGCATTATGATATTGCTGCTTTTGATGGTTTATGCGTGATGACTTCTCACTTTTGATGGCAACCTGTAAACTCAGTAGGAAGAGGTTAGATATGGATGAAGGAGAATTACAATTATAATTACTCTCTGACAGTGGGCTGTAGCAGCATCTCTGTTGATTATAGTCAAACTGTAGGGACTAGGGATAACAAATTGCACATTTGTTTTTCATCGCCAAATTAATCAAAGATGATGAAATTTAAATTTAAACCCTGTAAATCGAGTCTGGAAATGGACCAGCAATAGAACTTGATGGGATTATAATTAACACAAATTTAATTAAAGCAATATCGTGTATCTGCTATGGTTGTTACATTTTATAATTTTGAATAACTAGTGAGCAGCCTCAAGAATGTTAGTCCGTTGGGTTCAAGGTCTGGGGTTGAGCTTATAACATATAGTTAATATTTGTTGCTATCTGGAAAACCTTAGGGCTGTTTTTATTTGCTATTATTTGGTGCGAAGGTGGGGATGTTTGTTTCTGCCCACAGTTTGAGTAAAAGGTTGCGGTGCTTATCAATGCAGGACATAAATGAAGAATGGATTTCAGACAAGACTCGCTTTTGTTATGATGGTTTGAAGAGACAGAGGTTAAATGATCCCATGATTCGTGGACCTGATGGGCGCTTTAAGGCTGTCAGCTGGCGTGATGCCCTTGCTGTGGTTGCAGAAATTGCCCAGCAAATTAGACCAGAGGAAATTGTTGGAATAGCAGGTCGACTTTCTGATGCTGAATCAATGATGGCACTAAAAGATCTCATTAACAGGATGGGATCTGATAATGTATGGTGTGAAGGAATTGGTGTAGATACTAATGCTGATTTGCGATCCGGGTATCTTATGAATACTGGCATTGCTGGTCTTGAGAAAGCAGATGTTTTCCTGTTGGTTGGTACCCAGGTACATTTCTGTCCGTTAATTGTAATTTTTAATCTCCCTTGATACTCAAAACATTTTGAATTGTGTTGCTTCTGGTGTCAATTATGTTTTCTTATCTTGTATGGATTCACTGTTGAATTTGTAGCCACGGGTAGAAGCTGCTATGGTTAATGCCAGAATACGAAAGACTGTCAAAGCAACACAAGCCAAGGTTGGCTACATTGGGCCTCCCACTGATTTCAATTATGATCACAAACATCTTGGTACTGGACCTCAAACACTCATTGAGATTGCTGAGGGCCGTCACCCATTTTCCAAGACTCTCTCAAATGCCAAAAACCCCTGTATCGTTGTTGGTGGTGGGGTTTTTGAGAGGAAGGACAAGGATGCAGTTTTCGCTGCTGTTGAAGCTATTGCTAAAAATGGAAATGTTGTCAGGCCTGATTGGAATGGCCTTAATGTGTTGCTTCTCCATGCTGCTCAGGCTGCTGCACTTGACCTTGGACTTGTTCCCCGGTCTGAAAAATGCCTCGAGTCTGCTAAATTTGTCTACTTGATGGGTGCTGATGATGTGAACTTGGAGCAGATCCCTAAAGATGCTTTTGTTGTGTATCAAGGTCACCATGGAGACAAAGGTGTCTATCGTGCTAATGTTATCTTGCCGGCATCGGCATTCAGTGAGAAGGAAGGTACATATGAAAACACTGAAGGATGCGTTCAACAAACGTTGCCTGCAGTTCCAACAGTTGGTGATGCCAGGGATGATTGGAAGATAATTCGGGCCATGTCTGAGGTTGCTGGACTACGGTTGCCTTATGATTCGATTAGTGCCATCCGTGCCCGAATCAAGACCGTTGCACCAAATCTTGTGCACATGGATGAGAGAGAACCGGCTGCATTTTCATCTTTGCCTAAACCCGATGTTGCTGAGAAAGTCAGTGCGACACCATTCGGGATTGCTGTTGAGAATTTCTATATGACTGATTCAATAACCCGGGCATCAAAGATAATGGCGCAATGCAGTGCTATGCTATTGAAGAAGTGAAGTTTAGATATTGTTTTTGTCCAAATGAAAATGCGCATTTATGATTTTTCGTTTCCATGTCATGTAAGCCACTGGTTGGCCAAAACTTCTAGGATGTTGGAAGTACCTAATAAAATTATTTTAGGCTTTTGTCCTACCATGCAATGTAAGAGCGCCACTTTGTAAAACTCTTTTGTGTACATTTGGGTTTTTGTCCAGCTGATTGTGAAAACTTACTCCAACCTCACCGATAGGTTTTTTCCCCGTAAGTGCTATATGTGAGAGTGATGGAAGTTGAATGCGATTTTAGAGTCCCCCTCAAATTGTGAGTGGCGAAGGACTCAAGTATATATAGTGAACTTGGACCAAAATATTCGAGGGGTTACTTGTGTTTTTAATTTAACCAATCTTAACAGCGACTGACGCAAGTTTCCAAGCATTCATTGAACTATAAGGATTCTGCAAAGAGAGCGCATCAAACAAATGGGTGGGGGAATATTGTTTGGCAACACAACCCCAGTCGAGATGCTAAAATAAAAGCAACCTTTGTGTGCGAAGAGAAAAGGGAAGATTTTCGGACCATACAATTTTGACATGAATAGATGTATTCCTGCACCTTTGACCATAACAAGATGATCTTATTTCTGATGCAACCATACAATTTTGACATGATTTTTTGACCATACAATTTTGACACGAATAGATGTATTCCTGCACCTTTGACCATAAAAAGATGATCTTATTTTGATACAACCATACACACGAAATCTTGGCAGAAACTGGGAATAGAGTACAATCCATAACTGATTGAGAGTAACAAGAAATTACTTCTGCACCTTCGAATAAGAAGCGATGCCTGTTTGAAGATATGCACTTTCCCAATTCCTTCCATCAGCATGCTTGATTTCAACACTCTTCAGTGTGCCAGGATCAACACACTTGAATGTAATAGCAACTCCATCTGGGTTTGAGCGTGGGTAATAGAATGAGGTTATACCACAGACCTTGCAGAATGTATGCTTAGCAGTGTGAGTGCCAAAGGTGTAAGTTGTGATAAACTTCTCTGAATCTCCCAAAAGTTCAAATCTTTCGGCCGGCACAATGAAGTGTGTATTCCCTCTCATGTAGCAGTCTGAACAATTACATTCCCAAGCCACAACACTAGAGGAAGCTACTACTTTCCACCTCACACTCTTGCAATGGCACCCTCCAATATGCACCACGGTCTTTGAATCAGAATCCATCTCAGCTTTCTAAATTTTTTAGCTCAGAAATGCAATTTTGGCTCCGGCAGATGTATATGTTGGCAGAAACCTGTTAGCCACAATTTATCACGCTTCAAAAACAGAACATGATTGAGCTATGAATCATTTAGTACGTCATTATCTTCATCCCAGTGCATGGGTTAGTACATCATTAGTGTCATCAGCTATACCAGAAGGTATGAGATAATACTACTCTGGAAGGTATTTAATTCTAGTGAGAAGCTATGGAGATCTCGTAAAATTACAGTTTGTTAAATGGCATCTGGATAACTTTAGAGTTCAGCGACAAAAAAATTCTGCTCAACGAAAATCTTGAAGGCTACTGAACCCACTAGACAGGGACACTTAACAAAAGCGTTTATATTTCCAGCAAAACAGAGCTAAAACAGTTTAATTGTAGGGGTGATGATGGGTTGGAACTTGTAAGCTGTAAGCTCATCAACATCTATAGTTATTTTCATCGAAGATCTAAGCTACGATTGTACAAGTACGATAAAAATGAGTCAAGGATTTATGACCCTCCTGCACAAAAAACTTGCTGTACATATATTAATGGCCCTTCACAATTGAAGACGGAGAAGCAAGGCAGAGACGTTGCCCTCAGATGTTCGCCTGCTGGGTCGCTATAAAAGCTTTTATAGTCGTAACTTCACTTGACAAAGCCTTCTTCGCTTTGTCTTCCTAAAGAGTTTTTTATTATTAATATCGAATGAATATCTGAAGTTCCTGAATAAAACAAACATTCATGTAACATAGTCATGTTTCCCATCTGATATTCCAGTGATCCAGTCAAGAGATGACCACGAGCTCGCTCTTTTCTCAAATGATTTTTCTTTTCATCAATTGACTATGAATTGTGATAGAATTATGTAATTGATTGTGTTGACCAATAAATTCTCTTTCTTTCCTACAATTCTATCCTTCCTCCAGACCAAGGCCCACCATTGATGTTCCAGAATCCAGTTGGGGACGCGAGAGCTTAAAATCCATCTATCTATTGGGTGGTGTTTGGTTGGGTTTCTTTTTAGGGGAGGTAGGGGGAAGGAAGGGGAGGTGGGAAGAAAGTACGTTTGGTTGAAAAAATTAAAAAGAAGGGAAGGAAAAATTGTGTCTTTATCTATGTCCCAATCCTACTTTCTCTCCATTCAAATTTGGAGTTTTTTTTGAAAGAAGAAGAAACTATTTTCCTATCACGACAAAATTGGCCATAACAAGTTTTGCATATTCCACCGTTGTCCTTCGATCTTTAAAACTTTTTTCCCATTCATTCTCTTCAGCCACTCCTCCCTGTCACCCTGTGTGACATGGTCGTGCTTCGTGGCAGCTCGCGGCGCTAACAATTTCTATTTTCATACCTCAATTTCTCTTAATTCTCATCCGTAAATTCAAAAGCAAACGATGTGGGAAATTAGACAAAATTATATTACGAACTAATGGCTGGGGATATGAGAAATATTCAGATCCATACTGGGGTTCGTCAGTTTCAAGGATGGTGCTGATGTGGTTACGTTTAGGTGTTTTGTTTTATTTGTTTTGGACTTTTATACTGGTTTAATTTTACTTAATCAAGTTTCCTTTGGTGGCCAAAAATTAAAAAAAAAAAAAAGCATTAAAACATGCTATAATTCCTCAGTGCGATTCAATAGGGGATTGATATAGTTAAAATTTGTGCAGCGAACTACTAAGTTTATCATTAAATTATTGATAAGTAAAAAATATCACACTATTTAAGATTAGTGAATAATCCTTGATCCATTTATCATCGTGTTTTTAGTTAATAAAGATGTCATTTTTTTGGCCAACGATGTCAATTTTTACTCCCATATGGATATTATATTTATATTTATTCGACTTTAATAATTACTAAATTGTGATCTTATAGATTAAATGTCATTTATAATTATATTTTGTTAAACATACAAATTTTGAACCAAATAAAATAATGACAAAGAACCAACAAAATAATATTAAAACTTTTTTCTTTCTTTTTCTCCATTAAAATTCCTTCTATTCATTTTTTCTTTTCTTTTTGCTTAGTAAAATATCTCCCTTCCCTTTTCTTTCTATTAAAATCCCTCCCATCCCTTTCTATTTTCTTCTCCTCTTTGTTAAAATCCCTTCCTTCCTTTTCCTTCTATTGAACCAAACACAGTCTTAATTGTTTGTAGTTATTATTATTAGTTATATAATAGGAGGGACACTGGTAGGTTGGCTTCTTGACATCTGGCCAAGTACTGGGGTGTCCACGTTTCATGTATCGCTACTCGCGGCGCGTCCATCCATGCCCGAATCAAGACCATTGCACCAGATCTTGTGCACATGGATGAGAGAGAACCGGCTGCATTTTCATCTTTGCTAAACCCGATGTCGCTGAGAAAGTCAGTGCGACGCCATTCGGGATTGCTGTTGAGAAGTTCTATATGACTGATTCAATAACCCGGGCATCAAAGATAATGGCACAATACAGTGCTATGCTATTGAAGAAGTGAAGTTTAGATATTGTCTTTGTCCAAATGGAAATAAGCATATTTATGTTTTTTTGCGTCCATGTCATGTAAGACACTGGTTGGCCAAAGCTTCTTGGATGTTGGAAGCACCTAATAAAATTATTTTAGGCTTTTGTCCTACTATGCAATGTAAGAGCACCGCTTTGTAAAACTCGTGTATATTTGGGTTCTTGTCCAACTGATTGTGAAAGCTTGCTCCAACCTCACCGATAGGTTTTTGCCCCGTAAGTGCTATATGTGAGAGTGATGGAAGTTGCATGCCATTTTAGAGTCCCACTCAAATTGTGAGTGCCAGGCGAAGGACTCAAGTATATATAGTGAACTTGGACCAACAAATTCGAGAGGTTACTTATTTTTTTAATTTAACCAATCTTAACAGTGACAGAGGCAAGTTTCCAACCATTGGTTGAACTATAAGGATTCTGCAAAGAGAGCGCAACAAACAAACCGATGGGGGAATACTGTTTGACAACACAATCCCAGTCGAGATGCTAAAATAAAGGTAACCTTTGTGTACGAAGGGAAAAGGGGAACAATTTTGACATGAATAGATGTGTATCCCTGCATCTTTGACCATAAAAAGATGATCTTATTTTTGATACAACCATACACACGAAATCTTGACAGTAACTGGGAATAGACTACAATCCATAACTGATAAGAGAGTAACAAGAAGTTACCTCTGCACCTTTGAACAAGAAGAGATACCTGTTCGACTATATGAGCTTTCCCAATTCCTTCCATCAAAATGCTTGATTTCAACATTCTTCAGTGTGCCAGGGTCAACACACTTGAATGTAACAGCAACTCCATCTGGGTTTGAGCGTGGGTGAAAGAATGAGGTTATACCACAGACCTTGCAGAATGTATGCTTAGCAGTGTGAGTGCCAAAGGTGTAAGTTGTGATAAACTTCTCTGAATCTCCCAAAAGCTCAAATTTTTCGGCCGGCACAACGAAGTTTGTATTCCCTCTCATGGAGCAGTCTGAACAATTACATTCCCAAGCCACAACACTAGAGGAAGCTACTGCTTTCCACCTCACACTCTTGCAATGGCACCCTCCAGTATGCACCACTGTCTCTGAATCAGAATCCATCTCAGCTTTCTAAATTTTTTAGATCAGAAATGCAATTTTGGCTCCTGCAGATGTATATGCTGGCAGAAATCTGTTAGCTACGATTTATCAGGCTTCGAAAACAGAACATGATTGAACTATGAACCAAATCAGGCGTCAAAAACAGAACATGATTGAACTATGAATCATTTAGTACATCATTATCTTCATCCCAGTGCATGGGTTAGATACTTAGTGTCATCAGCTATACCAGAAGGTATGAGATAATACTACTCTGGAAGTTATTTAATTCTAGTGAGAAGCTATGGAGATCTCGTAAAATAACAGTTTGTTAAATGGCATCTAGATAACTTTAGAGTCCAGCAACAAAAAGATTCTGGTCGACGAAAATCTTGAAGGCTACTGAACCCACTAGACAGGGACACTTAACAAAAGCGTTTATATTTCCAGCAAAACAGAGCTAATACAGTTAATTTTAGGGGCGATGATGGGTTGGAACTCGTAAGCTGTAAGCTCATCAACATCTATAGTTATTTTCATCGAAGATCTAAGCTACGATTGTATAAGTACGATAAAATTAGTCCAGGATTTATGATCTTCCTACACAAAGAACTTACTGTACATATATTAATGGCCCTTCACAATTGAAGACGGAGAAGCAAGGCAGAGACGTTGCCCTCGGATGGTCGCCCGCTGGGTCGCTATAAAAGCTTTTATAGTCATAATTTCACTTGACAAAGCCTTCTTCGCTTTGTCTTCCTAAAGAGTTTTTTATTATTAATATCGAATGAATATCTGAAGTTCCTGAATAAAGCAAACATTCATGTAACATAGTCATGTTTCCAATCTGATATTCCAGCGATCCAGTCAAGAGATGACCACGAACTCGCTCTTTTTGCAAATGATTTTTCTATTCATCAACTGACCATGAATTGTGACAGAATTATGTGATTGATTGTGTTAATAAATTCGTTCTCTTTCCTACAATTTTATCCTTCCTCCAAACCAAGGCCCCCATTGATGTTCTAGAATCCAGTTGGGAACACCAGGTAGCTCATATAAAACTTCTCTTGGCTTTTATTTTGCTTTTGAATACAAGATCTTAATCTATTTTGTCTTTTATATTTATATTTTTTTAAGATAATTTTTTTAATAATGATAGTTCTAGCCAATACACTTGATTAATAAAAATATTTTTTAAAAAATCCATTTATTACAAATGACTAACTTAACTTTTTTTTTTAATCTATTTAAATTAGTCAACTGATTCTTATATTTAGAACTGAAGGTAGTATCTATCTATTCACTCAAAAAAAAAAAATCACCCACTAAAATCTATCTATCTATTAGTTATTAGTTCGATACTAATTATAACCAATCTTAACAGCGACAGAGGCAAGTTTGCAACCATACATTGAACTGTAAGGATTCTGCACAGAGAGCGCATCAAACAAACGGGTGGGGGAATATTGTTTGACAACACAATCCCAGTCGAGGTGCTAAAATAAAGGTGACCTCTGTGTACGAGGGGAAAAGGGGAACAATTTTGACATGAATAGATGTATCCCTCCATCTTTGACCATGAAAAGATGATCTTATTTTTGATACACACGAAATCTTGGCAGTAACTGGGAATAGAGTACAATCCCTAACTGATTGAGAGTAACAAGAAGTTACTTCTGCACCTTTGAACAAGAAGAGATACCTGTTCGACGATATGAGCTTTCCCAATTCCTTCCATCAAAATGCTTGATTTCAACATTCTTCAGTGTGCCAGGGTCAACACACTTGAATGTAACAGCAACTCCATCTGGGTTTGAGCGTGGGTAATAGAATGAGGTTATACCACAGACCCTGCAGAATGTATGCTTAGCTGTGTGAGTGCCAAAAGTGTAAGTTGTGATAAACTTCTCTGAATCTCCCAAAAGCTCAAATTTTTCGGCCGGCACAACGAAGTTTGTATTCCCTCTCATGGAGCAGTCTGAACAATTACATTCCCAAGCCACAACACTAGAGGAAGCTACTGCTTTCCACCTCACACTCTTGCAATGGCACCCTCCAGTATGCACCACTGTCTCTGAATCAG